CTCCGTTCGCCCTCCGACCATCCCTCCGACTCCGTCGACCGGAGTTGCATAATAGGCAACTGCGAAGATCAGAACAAGGACGAGCAGTGCTGGTGTTAGTGAGCGTTTTAAAGCCATGGCTGTAAATGTTTGTTGTGTGAGTTTATAGAAGATAGGGGTTGGGGATGCGGTCATGTGGTATTTATAGGGGCCGCAGTGTTTGTAATTGCCCTAGAAATTGCCAACATGTTAGGGTTATGAGAAATCAATGGCATAGTTGAAGGTGTAATTTAAAAATATAATATATGTGGGGATAATATAAAAAAATTATAATTGAAGGGGTTAAAATATAATTTTCCCTTTTATACATTATATTCTTTTCATGTTATTTTAAGTTCAAAATAAGTTTATTTTGATAATAAATTAAAAATAGTAATATTTTTTCCTTTAACTATTCCACCACCAAACACGAGTTTATGATACAAATTTTAGAAATGTTATATATCAAAACACATTTAATTACTGTAATATTTAGAATAATTGTATTCTAAAAAATATTTGAAGAACCCAAAACTTGAGAATTAATATTAAATTTAGTGTAATAGGAATTTACACCCTCAATCGTTAATTTTTTTGCATTACACCCTCAATGATTCTAATGTGACATTCACACTAACTTTTGTTATAATTTTCGTTCAATTTGCTACGTGACCGTTGCACTAAATACAGTGCGATTTTTACATAAATGATAGCAGAAGTAAGTGTAGGGGTCAGATTCAATTGAAATAATTATAAAAAATGTTACCTCGTAATGCGTGATAGTAGCTTGAAAGATGCACACTTTTGGGATGTGTGCCCGTATTTATGTGTTATGTGATGTAGAAGCAGAATGGGACAATGCCACAAGGTGAGGCGGATTCACAGGTCCTGCAACTTGTCACACATAAAAAGACCAGCAAACACCCCTCCATTCATGTCCTTGTCTTGTAGAAGTCTAAGGCTTGTCTTGTAGAAGTCTAAGGCACCGAATCCGATACTCCTTTTTTGGGTAAATTATATTTGGACACCTTAAGTTTTATCACTTAATCACATACACCACCAACCCCCAAGTTTGGGTTTAATTTCGGATTTGGTGTTGTTTAGGTTATGGGTTTTGTATGATTTTGGGTTTGGGTGAGATGGATTTAATTTTTTTATAAGAGGGCAAAAGGGTCATTTCTAAACATATGTCAAGTCCGTAGTAGGTTGTTATTGATAAGGGGTGTCAATGTAATATGTCATATTTGAAGGGATTTGTATAATTTAGTGACAAATTTCGGGAAACCAAGTATAATTTACCTTCTTTTTTTTTTTTATATAAAATTTGAGGGAATTTATAATTTTTGGGTTATTTGGGATTGATTCTAAAAATTATATGATCAATTTTAAGTAACCTCAAAAAATATAAATGATATCTAAATGTTATAACTTAAACTATAAAAATTATAATATGACCCCAAAAAATTATAATTTTTTTGTCATAAATAAATTTGAAAACTTAGATTTCAACCCACTAAAACTTATAACCTTCGATGGTATGGCACCAATTTTTTTTTCCGTGCCGTAATCTTCTCCCCTTGTCATAACTCATAAATCAAGGAATTTTAATATTCACACGCTATCAATAAGTTTTCAAGGAATTTGGCAATATATTATTATTATTATTGGTTTTGACACGAACATGACACGAAACTCTGACCAATTTAATTTAGCTAATGTTTTTCACTTCAATAAGGAGTCATTCCTCACCGCATTATTAGAATCGTGATAATTCAAATAAGTGAAGGGGGATTCACAAACTACTTAATTGAACGGCTTATAAAGAGTGAGTCGATGGATAACAATGAGGTAAGTAAATTCAACTCCAGCCACAAATTTCTCTTTCTTCAATTCTCTCTCTAACTTAAGTATCAAAGGGCCGACTTTCAGAGTCCCTTTGGTCTCTAACTTGCATTTGCAAGGAATCTCTTGGACGACCAAAGTACCATTGGAACTCACCAAGATGTTTAGAGTTCGTTGAACGTTTTTCACCATCTACAATTATTATTATCATTTGGTGCTTGTGTATGTCACTTCAATTTTTTCTTTTAGCAAATTGGTCATCTTAGTAAGTGCAATAATATTGACTCTTAAGTGCGATATACAACATCGGAATGACATAGAAGGGAGATGAATAGATTTTAAAAACTCAATGCAGAAATTAATAACATCACCTCTAAAATGCAACAATCTTCTTCTTAAAGGGTGTCTGCAAACTTTCTTGTGGTTGCACTTTGACTTGCTTACAAATCTCTTCAACGTCATCCTGTCTTTCTTTCTTCCTTTATTCTCTGGAGGCTTTCTCTGATGCTATCGGAGTGTTTAACTACTCACTTTCGGCAATGCATGTCAATGTCATTGAACCAATACCTTATTCTAGGTTGTCAGCAAGTCACACCAAGAAGAAAGCATAAAAATAAGACTCTTCATGCCATCTCTAGTCTGAAATTGTTCAGATGGTGTGGCTTTATAGAATTTTGTCCTCGAGATTCAGTTTTTTGCGAGAAAAAGTTCGCATAACAAGTCACGACATAGTATGGACAATGTTTGACCACCAATGGATATTGCTCATCTTGTACGATATCTAGCCCTCTACTATGATCTCAAAAAAGAAAATTTCAAACATGAATGCATAAATCATGTAAAGAGAAAATATCCATTGTAACGGTAATATTAAATCATTAGTGATACGTAATATCACTAATCAATAATAAATTATCGTGTCTATGTAGTGGATCCTACTATTTTAGTAACTCTTAATAACCACCATACTTACTAAGTAACACCTTCAAATGGTGAGGTTTACTTATCTTTTATAGTATATTATTATTAGTTAGTGATATTACTTGTCACTAATGACATATTTCATCACTTTTTCCAAAACTCAACTTTGAACTTCAATTTTCAAAACACTGACCCAATAAACTTTATACTTGACTCATGTTTGTTCGTGAACTAGTGCAAACAAAAACCTGCTAATAATGAATTATTTGCCACCTCCTTGTCTCACTAGTAGGGACTCCCTGTTCTACTATTCCAACAGACTCTTATGGCCTGTTTGTTTTGCTGGAAAAGTGGGCGAATGAAAAATGGTGGATAAAAAATGACATTTTTCTTTTATTTGGTACGAAAGGAAAATTGAGGGAAAAGAAAAATTGGGTGAAAAATATATCTTTTGGGCCCACCATTTTTAATCACTCCACAAATGGGAGGAAAGTGGAAGGAAGGAAGTGTGTAGCCCACCTATTTTGTCATTTGTTATGTATATGTGTACCAAATTAGTGGGTCTCACATTAAATTATTAATTTCTTAACTTTTTTATTCATTTTTTTTGAACAAATGGACTTTTTTGTCCTTAAAATATACTTTTAAATATTACATGTATCGTTTCTTTCTTTCCACTTGTTCTCCAATACCAAACAATAGAAAATTAAATTTTCAACTTTTTATATATCGTACCAAACAAAAATGAGGGATAATGTTTTTCTTTCCTCTAAGGATTAAAAGTCTATTCCTCACATTTTTCTATCTTTATAATTTTCATCTCTACTACNCATACGTCATTTCTCAAACCCTACCCCAACTACCTAGCCGAAGGAGAAGGCTCAAATGTGAGCAACTCCTTAGAATGCACCCACGACTTCACCACCACAACTGCGTCATAGGTCTTCGCAGCCCCATTCTCCGCCGTGGCCACGATCTTCAGGTAATATTTGATCCCGGAAACCGTCTGCTTTTCCGCCTTGACCACCTGAGAAAAAACCAGAACTCCACCTCCGTTCGCCTTGTGCTGCTTCTTCTCTCTCCTATTGTACTCCTCCACCGAGTACCTCCCCAGTTCCTGAACCTCCTTGTTTGTTTTAACGTCTTTGATCTCCGTTCGCCCTCCGACCATCCCTCCGACTCCGTCGACCGGAGTTGCATAATAGGCAACTGCGAAGATCAGAACAAGGACGAGCAGTGCTGGTGTTAGTGAGCGTTTTAAAGCCATGGCTGTAAATGTTTGTTGTGTGAGTTTATAGAAGATAGGGGTTGGGGATGCGGTCATGTGGTATTTATAGGGGCCGCAGTGTTTGTAATTGCCCTAGAAATTGCCAACATGTTAGGGTTATGAGAAATCAATGGCATAGTTGAAGGTGTAATTTAAAAATATAATATATGTGGGGATAATATAAAAAAATTATAATTGAAGGGGTTAAAATATAATTTTCCCTTTTATACATTATATTCTTTTCATGTTATTTTAAGTTCAAAATAAAAAATATTTGAAGAACCCAAAACTTGAGAATTAATATTAAATTTAGTGTAATAGGAATTTAAAAAATTTTAATTTACACCCTCAATCATTAATTTTTTTGCATTACACCCTCAATGATTCTAATGTGACATTCACACTACTTTTGTTATAATTTTCGTTCAATTTGCTATGTGACCCTTGCACTAAATACAGTGCGATTTTTACATAAATGATAGCAGAAGTAAGTGTAGGGTCAGATTCAATTGAAATAATTATAAAAAATGTTACCTCGTAATGCGTGATAGTAGCTTCACTTTTGGGATGTGTGCCCGTATTTATGTGTTATGTGATGTAGAAGCAGAATGGGACAATGCCATAAGGTGAGGCGGATTCACAGGTCCTGCAACTTGTCACACATAAAAAGACCAGCAACAAACACCCCTCCATTCATGTCCTTGGCACCGAATCCGATACTCCTTTTTTGGGTAAATTATATTTGGACACCTTAAGTTTTATCACTTAATCACATACACCACCAACCCCCAAGTTTGGGTTTAATTTCGGATTTGGTGTTGTTTAGGTTATGGGTTTTGTATGATTTTGGGTTTGGGTGAGATGGATTTAATTTTTTTATAAGAGGGCAAAAGGGTCATTTCTAAACATATGTTAAGTCCATAGTAGGTTGTTATTGATAAGGGGTGTCAATGTAATATGTCATATTTGAAGGGATTTGTGTAATTTAGTGACAAATTTCAGGAAACCAAGTATAATTTACCTTCTTTTTTTTTTTTTATATAAAATTTGAGGGAATTTATAATTTTTGGGTTATTTGGGATCGATTCTAAAAATTATATGATCAATTTTAAGTAACCTCAAAAAATATAAATGATATCTAAATGTTATAACTTAAACTATAAAAATTATAATATGACCCCAAAAAATTATAATTTTTTTGTCATAAATAAATTTGAAAACTTAGATTTCAACCCACTAAAACTTATAACCTTTGATGGTATGGCACCAATTTTTTTTTCCGTGCCGTAATCTTCTCCCCTTGTCATAACTCATAAATCAAGGAATTTTAATATTCACACGCTATCAATAAGTTTTCAAGGAATTTGGCAATATATTATTATTATTATTGGTTTTGACACGAGCATGACACGAAACTCTGACCAATTTAATTTAGCTAATGTTTTTCACTTCAATAAGGAGTCATTCCTCACCGCATTATTAGAATCGTGATAATTCAAATAAGTGAAGGGGGATTCACAAATTACTTAATTGAACGGCTTATAAAGAGTGAGTCGATGGATAACAATGAGGTAAGTAAATTCAACTCTAGCCACAAATTTCTCTTTCTTCAATTCTCTCTCTAACTTAAGTATCAAAGGGCCGACTTTCAGAGTCCCTTTGGTCTCCAACTTGCATTTGCAAGGAATCTCTTGGACGACCAAAGTACCATTGGAACTCACCAAGATGTTTAGAGTTCGTTGAACGTTTTTCACCATCTATAATTATTATTATCATTTGGTGCTTGTGTATGTCACTTCAATTTTTTCTTTTAGCAAATTGGTCATCTTAGTAAGTGCAATAATATTGACTCTTAAGTGCGATATACAACATCGGAATGACATAGAAGAGAGATGAATAGATTTTAAAAACTCAATGCAGAAATTAATAACATCACCTCTAAAATGCAACAATCTTCTTCTTAAAGGGTGTCTGCAAACTTTCTTGTGGTTGCACTTTGACTTGCTTACAAATCTCTTCAACGTCATCCTGTCTTTCTTTCTTCCTTTATTCTCTGGAGGCTTTCTCTGATGCTATCGGAGTGTTTAACTACTCACTTTCGGCAATGCATGTCAATGTCATTGAACCAATACCTTATTCTAGGTTGTCAGCAAGTCACACCAAGAAGAAAGCATAAAAATAAGACTCTTCATGCCATCTCTAGTCTGAAATTGTTCAGATGGTGTGGCTTTATAGAATTTTGTCCTCGAGATTCAGTTTTTTGCGAGAAAAAGTTCGCATAACAAGTCACGACATAGTATGGACAATGTTTGACCACCAATGGATATTGCTCATCTTGTACGATATCTAGCCCTCTACTATGATCTCAAAAAAGAAAATTTCAAACATGAATNTGAGATGGATTTAATTTTTTTATAAGAGGGCAAAAGGGTCATTTCTAAACATATGTCAAGTCCGTAGTAGGTTGTTATTGATAAGGGGTGTCAATGTAATATGTCATATTTGAAGGGATTTGTATAATTTAGTGACAAATTTCGGGAAACCAAGTATAATTTACCTTCTTTTTTTTTTTTATATAAAATTTGAGGGAATTTATAATTTTTGGGTTATTTGGGATTGATTCTAAAAATTATATGATCAATTTTAAGTAACCTCAAAAAATATAAATGATATCTAAATGTTATAACTTAAACTATAAAAATTATAATATGACCCCAAAAAATTATAATTTTTTTGTCATAAATAAATTTGAAAACTTAGATTTCAACCCACTAAAACTTATAACCTTCGATGGTATGGCACCAATTTTTTTTTCCGTGCCGTAATCTTCTCCCCTTGTCATAACTCATAAATCAAGGAATTTTAATATTCACACGCTATCAATAAGTTTTCAAGGAATTTGGCAATATATTATTATTATTATTGGTTTTGACACGAACATGACACGAAACTCTGACCAATTTAATTTAGCTAATGTTTTTCACTTCAATAAGGAGTCATTCCTCACCGCATTATTAGAATCGTGATAATTCAAATAAGTGAAGGGGGATTCACAAACTACTTAATTGAACGGCTTATAAAGAGTGAGTCGATGGATAACAATGAGGTAAGTAAATTCAACTCCAGCCACAAATTTCTCTTTCTTCAATTCTCTCTCTAACTTAAGTATCAAAGGGCCGACTTTCAGAGTCCCTTTGGTCTCTAACTTGCATTTGCAAGGAATCTCTTGGACGACCAAAGTACCATTGGAACTCACCAAGATGTTTAGAGTTCGTTGAACGTTTTTCACCATCTATAATTATTATTATCATTTGGTGCTTGTGTATGTCACTTCAATTTTTTCTTTTAGCAAATTGGTCATCTTAGTAAGTGCAATAATATTGACTCTTAAGTGCGATATATAACATCGGAATGACATAGAAGGGAGATGAATAGATTTTAAAAACTCAATGCAGAAATTAATAACATTACCTCTAAAATGCAACAATCTTCTTCTTAAAGGGTGTCTGCAAACTTTCTTGTGGTTGCACTTTGACTTGCTTACAAATCTCTTCAACGTCATCCTGTCTTTCTTTCTTCCTTTATTCTCTGGAGGCTTTCTCTGATGCTATCGGAGTGTTTAACTACTCACTTTCGGCAATGCATGTCAATGTCATTGAACCAATACCTTATTCTAGGTTGTCAGCAAGTCACACCAAGAAGAAAGCATAAAAATAAGACTCTTCATGCCATCTCCAGTCTGAAATTGTTCAGATGGTGTGGCTTTATAGAATTTTGTCCTCGAGATTCAGTTTTTTGCGAGAAAAAGTTCGCATAACAAGTCACGACATAGTATGGACAATGTTTGACCACCAATGGATATTGCTCATCTTGTACGATATCTAGCCCTCTACTATGATCTCAAAAAAGAAAATTTCAAACATGAATGCATAAATCATGTAAAGAGAAAATATCCATTGTAACGGTAATATTAAATCATTAATGATACGTAACATCACTAATCAATAATAAATTATCGTGTCTGTGTAGTGGATCCTACTATTTTAGTAACTCTTAATAACCACCATACTTACTAAGTAACACCTTCAAATGGTGAGGTTCACTTATCCTTTATAGTATATTATTATTAGTTAGTGATATTACTTATCAGTGATGACATATTTCGTCACTTTTTCCAAAACTCAACTTTGAACTTCAATTTTCAAAACACTGACCCAATAGACTTTATACTTGACTCATGTTTGTTCGTGAACTAGTGCAAACAAAAACCTGCTAATAATGAATTATTTGCCACCTCCTTGTCTCACTAGTAGGGACTCCCTGTTCTACTATTCCAACAGACTCTTATGGCCTGTTTGTTTTGCTGGAAAAGTGGGCGAATGAAAAATGGTGGATAAAAAATGACATTTTTCTTTTATTTGGTACGAAAGGAAAATTGAGGGAAAAGAAAAATTGGGTGAAAAATATATCTTTTGGGCCCACCATTTTTAATCACTCCACAAATGGGAGGAAAGTGGAAGGAAGGAAGTGTGTAGCCCACCTATTTTGTCATTTGTTATGTATATGTGTACCAAATTAGTGGGTCTCACATTAAATTATTAATTTCTTAACTTTTTTATTCATTTTTTTTGAACAAATGGACTTTTTTGTCCTTAAAATATACTTTTAAATATTACATGTATCGTTTCTTTCTTTCCACTTGTTCTCCAATACCAAACAATAGAAAATTAAATTTTCAACTTTTTATATATCGTACCAAACAAAAATGAGGGATAATGTTTTTCTTTCCTCTAAGGATTAAAAGTCTATTCCTCACATTTTTCTATCTTTATAATTTTCATCTCTACTACTAAACGGAATATTAATGAGACTCGGTAATGTGTTTCGAACTTGCTTCAAACACAGCATGCCAAAATCTCAAACAAAAAACATTGAATATTTCTACAGTCTAACCTGCTTCATATGAACTTCAAACGGAGCACATAGGAGTTTCAATTCTAAGGTGAAGGACCATTGAATGTTGCATATATAAATGCGAAATTAAGTATTTAGTACCTAATTCGGTATCCCATTCAAAC